TACCCGTAAGAAAACAGGCCTGTTTGCTGGCAACCTTCACATCTTGGAACTTTAGCTCTCAGAAATTTATAAAGTTCCCTCCCTCATGGCATTTATAAGATTATTGAAAACTGGAAAGCTGAAGTAACACACTTCCATCAGTACTATAGAGCTTTCTCCTCCTATCCTCTTCTTCACAGAGGGTCCCACATCCCTTTGGAGCTGTATTTGAGGTGCATGGGGAGGTTGCATCTCCTAATGTACTAACACCCATATTCTGCCCTAAGGTTTTAGTTACTGATATTTTTTTTTTAGATGTACTTATTTTAATTGTTTTTTTTTTAAAGGCTGCCTACGCATTGATGATTCTGAGCAGTTTACAAAGAATTAAAACAATAAAAACCAACCATACAGGGAGAAACAAATCAGATGTATTACACTATTGATAGTGCTTAGGAGAACAACATATAAAAGTAATTCAGAGTCTGCTGGAAGAGCACATATTAGTTCCTTCCTGAAAGCCAGCAAGGTGAGGGCCACATGGACCTCAGGGGAGGTAACATTTCATAGGACAGACATGGCAACAGAGAAGGCATGTCTCCTGGGTCCTATAAGGTGCCATTGTTTAAGTGATTGGACCTAGAGGATGCCAAGCTTGTCAAATCTTATCAGACAGGTAGAAACATTTGGAGAGGCAGTCCTGCAAATATCCAGCCACTGTACCATGAAGGGCTTTATAGACGACCACAAGCTCCTTGAATTGCACCTGGAAGCCTAATGGTAAACAGTGCAGCTCATGACAGAGTGGTGTTACATCATTGTACTGAGGTGCACCACTCACACCACTGCATTCTGAACTAGTTATAGCTTCTGGGTGGTCTTCAAGGCCAGCCCCATGTAAAGTGCATTGCAGCAATCTAGTCACTTGGTGACTAAGACATGAGTTACTGTGAGAAAAGCCTCCCATTCCAGGAACAGACACAAGATTTAATGAATTGTATATAATCCTGGAATTCTAAACCGAATGAACAGCAGAATTAAATTTCTTAAAAACAAATGTTGAAAGTTAAAGATGCAGTATGTAGAAATCTGTAAATAAAATTAATTTGCAGAGAAAAATTAATTATACAATTTACTTGAATAGCTAAAAATTTATGTTGCTTAAATGATTTTGAGTAGCTGTATTAGGCTACATTCCATTATTTGTGCTACTTACTTCAGAAATGTGTAAAGAAATGGCACCTTAACAACTTTCTAATGATAATGAAATGCAGAAGGTAACACTACAGGTATATAGTTTTGTGTGTTTACTCATATATAAATCACATCAAATCAACTGATTTGAGACACATTGTAAAACAAATCACACATATCTATATGTTAACTGATATTACCATGTCATTTTAACTGGTTGTTACAAGAATCTGCTATCTACAAAGTATACATGAATTCAATTTTTTCCTCCTCAGTCCAAATCTCTTAACCTTTTTTGTCATGTGACTTCCTACTTATTTAACGTTAGTAGTGACTCTCTACCTGCTTAATTTTAAAAATCACTCTCGAAGCCTTTTTCAGCTGAACAATGGGGTAAAATATTTCAAATAAATAAATAAATATTACTAGGAGCATATTTTGGAGTTTTAAAATAAAGCACTAAAGATGAGGACAGTGCTACATTTCATTATCTGACTGGATATAACTTCAAACAAGGGACAGCTGAATATTCCACATCCAAATGGAATGAATTTAACTGCATTTAAATTCAAATTACACACACATAAAATTATATCAATATGGATTTATTTTGAAATACTATATTCAATTAGTGCTTACCGTTTTCGCTTGGCCTTGAAGAGAATATCTTCTATAGACGCTTTTAATGATCCAGATTCATCTTCTTTAAGAACTTCCCTAGAAGCAAAAAGAAACAAAGAACAGTAAGAATGCTATAATGTACACACAACTGGACATCACGTTTTTTTTAAAAAATGGAGGAAAAACTAAGTGCTGAAACGGCAAGCTTACCATGTTCTTTCATAACCCCCTTCCCATCGTTTGGTTCTTTCAGGTTCATCATCCATTTCTTTGAGCCAATGTCTTCCTAGTTAAGAAAGTAACAAAAATAATTATCATAATCTAATTAAAAAGATTTTAAAACATTGTACTGATAGCCCCCCCACACACACATATATGCACACACAACACATACATACAATGATAGAAAGCTAATATAACCACACCCTGAATTGTACTGAGAACTAAATATATATGGCTGTGTTCTCCTTGATTCAGAAAAATGGTTATTTTCAGTTTAGTGTATATCTGCTACATGGAAAGCATATACAGTCAGGTCCAGAAATATTGGGACATTATTTCTGGACCTGACTGTAGTTCTTAAGACTTAATAGAGGCCATAAAATTCACTGTCACCTTTCATATCCGTTCAATCAGAATTTTGCTAATTTTGCAAATTTGTTACTTTAACAAATTAGTTTACCTGTAGCATTTGCATCAACTCTTGCTACCCTTTCCTTTATACAGTCAGGTCCAGAAATATTGGGACATCAACACAATTCTAACATCTTTGGCTCTATACACCACCACAAT